ATTTACCCCTCCTCTGTTCAGTTTCATTCATTAGTACAGAATGTGAACTACAGAGTTGATTTTAGGTCTCACTACTTTCTCCAGTTTCAGTGTCCGCTGCGTGGGCCTGGCAAGAAGAGCTGATTCCTTTCCCCCATGGTGGACTGGAACTCAGTGGAAGCAAAAGAGGATGACATGAATTAAGAATTAAGAAGTTACTTTTTCTTTAATCTAAATTTTTAACCACTTCCCCTGAATTGAATTCCATCTTTCTAACAGAGAATTGCAACCAGTCATGTTCAGTTAACCCAGGTCCTTTAATTTACAGCTGAAGAAAAATGAAACTTATTCAGATCAGTGGCTTTTCATGGCTTTTTACCTTTATGTTGTCAGAACCAGACTAGAACTTAGGTTTTTGTTATTAAATCCAATGCTGCTTTCATTACACTTGTAAATCATCAGAGAATTTAGTATCTAAATAAATTAAACCTCTATGTCCTTTATAGTTGAAACTTTCTACTATCTATATATATCTATATCTATATAGTGTGTATTGTGTGTGTACATATATATAATATATAAAATGAGAGAATTATTTACATCTGGTTTCATCCTCTTACAAGAGCATTTGGATTTGAGCGCAACAAGTGGCACCCTGCCAGTGACAAATGGAAGCACTGCGATTGCCTTCCCATCATTCGCTACCTTTTATGGTATCAAGGGATTTCTTGCTCTCCTTTGTGACCCAGCTGCAGAGCAGCTGTTGTTTAGGCTCCTGCCTTTCCACTCTCACAAGACAGCTTTCCTTACCATCCCCACATGGTTTAGACTTCTGCAGTACAAGTGTCAACTCCGTTCTGTGAGTTCAGGCCTGCCCTTTGAGAGCCAAACAGCGTAGCACTTCTCATGGAAGGAATGATCCAGCGAATGCTTATAGTACTGGTGATAACAAATGGGAAACACCCATTGTACTTACAGCCACGAGGAATCGTCGGAGTCATGGCTAATAGCTAATATTTCAGGGTTTTCTAATTGCACTAATTCCCTAAATGGAAATCACCTTGACCACTTTATCCAGCTAAAGTAAAGCTGCCTATTGGAAACCAGTTTTTCATGAACTTTTGGTGCCATCTTATGGATCACAGAATGATAATAAAATATGTGGGTTTTTGTTTTCTTTGTGGGGAGGAGGTGTCACCAATGATGGCAGTGGCATGAAGCTCTGTATATCACTCAGGTCTCAAGATTTAGTCAGATTTACCACTGGAAACTGTGCCATCCATCATTTAGGCAACACTTCACAAGGAGAGTATGCATTTAAGAAGTGTTTTGAGTGTCTGCTTTAGCAAGATGTTTAGCATTCTTCATACATCTTTGACCACCTACTACGCATCTGGCCCTTGGCAAAGTGTTGATTAAACAATTATCCTAAATTGGTTTACAATGAGAAAAAGAGATTACGAATGGTAATTACCGTACATATGGTAAGTGTCACAACAAAGTAGGAATCAAGTGTTGTCAGAGCAGCCAGGAGGAAAAAGACTCAGCTTAAAGAATTCTGGGCAGGCCTTAATTTGGTCATGGCCATAATTGGCAAGTTACCTAAGACTTCTGCAAACAGATTTTTGAGTTATTTTTCTTCTAATTTTAAATTAAACTAAAAAAAAAAAAAAGATGTTAATTTTTATGAACCCTTGTCATTTAAGTTTTACGTTCTTTTTAGAAAACCCTCATTGTGTCTCCTCTCCTTCCACTGACACTGTTACTTCCTTCACAGCCAGGTATGTTGGGAGTTGTCTGTAATTATTCTATCCATTTTCTTTTCTTTTCTTTCTTTCTTTTTTGAGATGGAGTTTCACTCTTGTTGCCCAGGCTGGAGTGCAATGGTGCAATATTGCCTCACCGCAACCTCTGCCTCCCAGGTTCAAGCAATTCTCCTGCCTCAGCCTCCTGAGCAGCCGGAATGACAGGCATGCACCACCATGCCAGGCTGATTTTGTATTTTTAGTAGAGATAGGGTTTCTCCATGTTGGTTAGGTGTTTCTCCATGTTGGTCAGGCCAGTCTCGAACTTCCGACCTCAGGTGATCTGTCTGCCTCAATGTCCTAAAGTGCTGGGATTATAGGTGTGAGCCACCACACATGGTCTTTCTATCCATTTTCTTACCCACTGCTCCCCAACTAGCACCCACTTCTTCTGGCTTCCATTCCTATTAAACATACCTTCCTGAGGTTACCAGTGATCATGTCATGAAATCTAGTGGATGTTTTTCAGTATTAGACACAATCAACTGTTACTGTTTTCTTGACACCCTGTTTCACTTTATCTTCAACCTCTTGATTCATCTTAGTAAATCACACCCTTGACATCTCAGGTACCTCAAAAGTAGGCCAACCTCTACAATTTTCAAAACTAAATTTATAACCCTACTTGTTGAACTTGATTCTCTTTCATTATTTACTATCTTCCCTTTGGTTTTGTCCAAAACTTAGGGTCACCCTTGTTACTCCATGCCCCTCATTGCATTTTCTCTGTTCTATCCATGTTATTCTGTCTGTTTTATAGAAATTTCTCTCATGTCAGTCCACCAATCTTCCTTTCATTGTCACCTGCCTACTTGCCTTCTGCTCCCATTCCACTCTCTTATCCTCAGTACCCTCAGAGTGGTATTCACAAAACAGCAACTAACATCTTAATATGGCCAGTATAAGACAGGTGTGCCCTGCTCTTCCCTGCATTTTCACTTTTCATGTGGTTCACCCTCATTCCTCTCTGCTTCACTCACCCTGGGCTTCACGCAGTGTTTCTGTTTTTCTGCCACAGATATTTTACCTACATAGAGGCACTACTTTTGTTTCTGCTTCAGTTTGTTAATCATGCAAATCTTTTAATTTTTAGATCAAGCATCAATTCTTTTGGAAACCTTCCCTGAGTACTTCCACTAAATCAGACCAACTGCTATAAGTCAAATGGCCATTGATTGTGTTTGTCATACTCTTAGCACCTGAAGTTTCTCGTGCTTCATCAGGGCAGGAGTTGTGTCTGCTCTTTTTATTTCTTTCACTCTTCTTGCCCAGGCTGAGAGTGCAGTGGCATGATTTTGGCTCACCGCAACCTCCACCTCCCAGATTCAAGTGATTCTCCTGCCCCAGCCTCCTAAGTAGCTGGGATTACAGGCATGAGCCACCACACCTGGCTAATTTTGTATTTTTAGTAGAGATGGTGTTTCTTCATGTTGGTCAGGGTGGTCTCTAACTCCTGACCTCAGGTAATCTGCCCATCTCGGCCTCCCAAAGTGATGGGATTATAGGCGTGAGCCACCATGCCCGGCCCTGTGTCTACACTTTAATCACCATTTTCATCCTAGGGCCCAACACTGCACTGGGCACATGGTAGGTGCCCAATAAATATTCATCGGAATAAAAGGAATCAATGAACACATTTAATGTATTGTGAAAATTTCACTGTTTTACTTAAAAGCAGACACTTTGGTTTGTAATTCAGGTATGAATTATATGCATAATTCTGAAGTCTAAAAAACAGCCTATTTTAATATCTAAAATGATTTGCGTAATTTAAAAATAAAATTTTAGGATATACTTGTGCTGTAACTTAATTATAAATTTCATTCAAACGTAATTTCTACTTACTTTACCTTAGATTCCTCAGATGTTTTAATGAAATGTCTGAATACTCTTCTCATCAACTGAGATTATGGCTGGTTAAGCCTTATGGAAAGATGTTGGTTTTAACTCTACTTTGAGCTTAGTGTCATGTCATGATATAGCAACTTAAGTAATTTTCCCAGATAGAGCTTAAGATGTGGTTGTAGCCTATCAAATTATCTCCACTGAAATGTTACTACAGTGTATGTGGGTGACCCTTTTAAGTTTGAAGGGAAAATATACAAGTGAACAGATAATAGAAAGGAAATTAAAATGGTAACATTACAGGAAATCTGAGTAAGCTAAATACCTTCATTTATGTAGTATTTTTAGAAGTGAACTATGTTGTGTTTATACATTAAAATCTAACTTTTTTTGTTCATAATATCAAAGCTGTGTAGAAAGCAATGGTTCAGTTCGAATTCTAAGAATATCAGATATTTAATATGTATTTATGAAAGGTGAGTTATATATAATTTGAAATGGTTATTTAAAATGAGTTCTCTATGTATGTTTACCTTTTATAATGCTTTTAATTATATTTTTAATTGAAAACATGATTAGAATGTAAGTAGGTGAGTTTTTTGCTGCTGTTTTTCCCATTTTCCCCCCTTCTTGGCATTCTTGCAAGTCTTCTCCTTTTACTTTCTTCTCATTGAAAGGTGTCAGATTTCCAATATTCTTATGTCTTGTCAACTCTCGGTCTGTGGCACCCTATGTAGTTGGTGTTTCTGAATTTCTTCCATACTCTTTTGTGCTAGCATCTCAATCAAACAAAACTCTATCACTCCACTACATATGCACCTTCCTACCAACACTTGCCTTCATACAGTCTTTCCCATGTGAATAAATGATACCTGCCTTCGCCCACGTATAGCAAGTGAAAATTTGTGAAGTCAAATTAGATGGGCATAGTGGTGTGCACCTATAGTCCCAGCTACTTGGGAAGTTGAGTCAGGATGGTCAGTTGAAACCTGGAGTTCAGACTGCAGTGAGCTATGATTGTGCCACTATACTTCAGCCTAGGCAGCAGAGTGAGACCCCATCTGTAAAAATTTCTTTTTTTTTAATGTGGAGTCATCTTTGACTCTTCTTTTTCTGTTATATCCACACCTGTTCCACTGGCCACTTGTCTTCAGAAGAAGTCCTGAATCATTTCTCAGTGCATCCACTGCTGTCACTTTTGTTTAAGCTGTGGAGTATTAACCTTTTAAGAGGTCTTCCTGTTTATTGTACCCCCTACAGACAGTTTTCTACCCTAAATCTAAAGTGTTTTCTAAAATTTCTAAGTGAGATCATATTGTGGCTCTATTTCAAATCCTCCGTGATGTTCCTTCCTTATCAAAAGATATTCCAGGGCTCAATTCAGCAGCATGCACACTAAAAGGGAAAGGACACAGAGAAGATTTCATGGCTCCTGTATAAGGAGGCCACATCAACTCATAAAGCATTCCATATTTGCATAGTTCCCAGATGCTGTTCTACCCTTTCTTGGTTAACACCTAAGCAAATAATATGAGGAAAAGCAAAACATGTGACATTCAGATTGAAACAAATTTTCACTACCAAAAAGAAAAAAACAGGAAAAAGAAATTTCAAGCTCCTTGCAGAGCCTACTAGGCCCTGCACAACCTGGTCCTTCCTGTCATAGTCCTGACTCACAATTTTTTATGGGATTTGCTCAAATGCTGCATGATGTTTTCCTCTATAGGCCCCAAAACTCCAAATGTGCCAGATGTTTCCATGCCCTGCTTACTCCCTTATGTCACTCCTCAAATGTCAGTAAAGGCCTTCCTTTGTCACTTTATCACCTCCCCCCACCCCACCAAGTTGTGCATTGCTCTCTTCTGCAATATTTTTCACAAAAGCTCTTAAGATTGACTGTGTTACCTATTTATGTGTAAACTAAGGATTCCACCACTAAAACTGTGAGCTGCACCAGGAAGAGAGCTTTGTCTCGATTACCAAGGCCTGGAACCCAGCCTATCACATAGCAGGAACTTAATCTGTTGTTATAGAGTCAAACACCACATCTCTGAAGCCTTCTCTTTCATTTATCAGTTGTTAGATATACTGTGGACCTGAGGCACTTATTTTGATGACTAGCATAGTACATTTTTTTAACAGTCTACACTATGTGTGTTCTTCTCTGCTCATAAGCCTGAAAGATCCAGTGACTAATCTTTTTATTCACCTTTGAAATCGCTATAGTAAAATGGTCTAATTATACAGATGGTGCTATTAAGAAAATGTTATTGGGTTATAAACTATAATTTACAGCCTGCTTATTTCATTTAGCACTGGATCATGTAGAACTTTTGGGGTTTACATAATTTTCTACAAAATCATTTTAGTAGATACATTGTATTTCACTGAAATGATTTTTGGTTAATCAAGTTCGTGTTGGTGGACATTGAGTTTGTATGAACAATACTATAATAAAAATGAATAGCGACTTATTTGTATTTACAGGTATTTTCTTAGGACAAATACATAGAAATAGAATTAGTTGGCCTAGTGTGTCTGTGATTTAATGCTTTTCATATGTGTCAAATTTCCCCCAGGATGTTTTTGTTACATATTACTGTATTTCAACAATGTGTTGTTTGAACACCTGTTTTTATGAACCCTCAGGAATATTGAATTCTCTCATTATTTGGGAAATTTTTTGATAGATGAATAACATCTCTTTATATCAGTTTGCAGTTTAGGTAGATCAAATACATATTTCTTTAGAAATTCTGGCCATTATTTTTTGATATTTGAAAACTGTTCATTTGTGCCCTTTGCTTATGTCATGTGTCTGGCTCCCAGGCCAGAAAGACAGCTGAGTATGAGATCCACTTCTGTATCTTGGAGGGAAACTCATTCTGTTGCAGCCTTTTATTCCCACTTTTTCAGTCATTTAATTTCAGCCAGTTTTGTGACCTCCTCCTTTCCCATTATGCCTCTGGGAGGCTGGGAAGGAGGTGTCCTGGCCATCTGATCTAAGCTGACACCACCTTAAAGGCTGATATCTCTTCAGTGGGACTGGGAATGGGCTTCAGGGAATCTTTGCTTAGGGTGAGAGTTCTGGCTGTGGAGTCAGCCTTGTCCTGGGCATGCCACAGAACCACTCCTCCCTCGTGAGGGCTCTTCGCCTACTCTGGATATTGTCCTTGAACAGAGTGAAACACTCCCTTTGTCCTCTAGCTGCCCGTGGTGTCATTTGATGTAATTTTTCAATGTGTTTAGGTCCTATGACACTATAGGTGCCTTTCAGCCAGCCTCTGCTTTAGGATGTTTAGGAAAAGAGGGCACAGAAGACCTGACGTTTATGGAAAGCAGGACTTGAATGACAATCCCAGGAGGACAAACACTAATATCAGTTAAACTCTTCAGCCAGATCATTTCTGTATCAGGTAGCTTTATTCTATAATTTTTATTCTGATGTTTATATAGTATTTTATTATATTTTAAAAGCTTTCTAGAAGATGTACTATTCTAGCCCTAAAAAAAAAAAAAATTAAAGTCATGGTCACAATTTGGGTATCTGACAATTTGATGGGGAAATATTCTATAATATGCAGATGAACTGTTTCCTCATGAAAGTTTCCACTGCCCCTGCCCCTTTACTTTGCCTCTAATTAAAGTTAGCTCCAGCTCATAGTATATCACATTGGGGAGAGGCTATTATAGTTAAATGGTTTTGTATGAATCATCTTGGTTTGTAAGAATAAGTTGTACTTTTAGCGTTTTTTTTTTTTAGTGATTTTTTTTTTTCTTTAGAGGAAGATATTTTTTTATCCTGAAAGCATATTATATAAAAATACTGTGATGCTTAAAAAGACTCAGATACCAGAATTTGGGAAGGGTGCATGTGTGGTAGCGAGAGGGGGAGATGAAGAAGGGGATGTTGATGGGAACAAACATACAGTTAGATAGAAGGAAAAAGTTGTAATGTTCAATAGCAGAATATGGTGACTGTAGTTAACACCAACATATTGTATATTTCAGAATAGCTAGAAAAGAGGATTGGAAATGTTTTCAGCACATAGAAATGATAAATATTAATACTCAAGGTGATGGACACCCCACCACAACATACTCTGACTTAATAATTACACAGAATATCACATGTAACACATAAATGTGTACAAATAGTTGTATCAATAAAAATGTTTTTTTAACTTTTTTTTTTGACTGTAGTAATCAGTTTATTACACAGATTAATCATTCTTGAACGTACAAGCTCCAGAGGAGCAACTGGGTCTTTAAATAAACACAAATATTTCCATCAAATGAATTTTCACCCTTACATCCAAATAGACCTAAGCAGTTAAAAACATAATTGTCAAGTAATGTTCCTTTTATTTGTAGATGATGGTCATCACAAATTAATTTTTACACCCATTTAACTATAATGCATGGTTAAACAACATGTTTTTCAAACTACACATAAGCTTTTGGACCTGTTTTATCAGCTGCTTCCTTTTCATATTTGTTGTTAGTATAGAGATACATTTGAATGTGAAATGAAAATGTGATTTGCATTGGTTGTGAAAAATAACAGACACTCATAATTGTCAGAAATTCCCAAAGAGTAAACACCAGACATATGGAAGTGGCTGCTAGAACATACTACAGTAAGAGACTGTTCCTTCCCCAAACTTGAAGCAGCCTCTAAATAAAGAGTAGGGCCACTGAAATGAAATTCTCTGGTTTGTTCTTCATTTTATTCTAGTTGGTATTCCTACTGATGCTGAAGGTATAGGTAGTCCCCAGTTAAGGTATAAATACTTGTTTGAGAATGTGAGCTAGTTTGGAAAGAACTCTTTTTATCATTTTAGAAACCTTAGTTGGTATAACAGTTTTCAGATATGAAATGGAGGAGTTACTACTTTGTTCACAGCTCTATAATTTACTAATAACATGTAAACATAAATAAGTGAGTAGCTGCTATAAGCTACTAAGTTATATAAAGAAAATAGGGCTATGCATGGTGGCTCACACCTATAATCCCGCCCCTTTGGGAGGCCAAGGCAGCCAGATTACTTGAGGCTAAGAGTTCGAGACTAGCCTGGCCAACATGTTGAAACCCCATCTGTACTAAAAAATACAAAACTTAGCTGGGTGCATGCTGTAGTCCCAGCTTCTCGGGAGGCTGAGGCATGAGAATTGCTTGAACCCACCAGGCAGAGGTTGCAGTGAGCTGAGATCGCACTACTGCACTCCAGCCTGGGTGACAGAATGAGTCTTTTGAGACTCTATCTCAAAAAAAAAAGAAAAAAAAGGAAAGAAATCATAGTACCCTATTTTTATGTGTTGACTGGTTATTTATAGAATACTTAGATGGCTATAGAAGAAAAGGTAAAGATTGATGTTAATTTATAGAATAAGATTAATGCACTATTTGCATTCGGGGAACAAAGTATATATACATATATTTATATATAAATGTATTATATATATTTACATATAAATGTATTATATATTTATGTATAGTAGAAAAAAACTATTTTCTCCTATTATACTCTCAACCTAGAACATTTATAACATGAGTGTCAGTGGGGTAATTCCCCACAAACCAAGCCATTGTCCAGCAGACACCAACAGGATGCCCTCATATTAAATTCTGACACTAACCAGAGTTAGTGCAGACCTCGCAAGTTAAGGACTCAGTCTCACAAGACTGCTGCCCCGCTTTAGGTGCCAATCCAAGTTGTAGGTTTCCAGGTTACCCACAACTTCCATACAACATGACTACAAATTGGAGGTTCCCAGGACCCTCTTCCTGAGTTCAGTTTGCTACTGTGGCTCACAGAACCCAGGAAAACAGATTACTTACTATTACCAAATTACTACAAAGGCTATTTTAAAGGGCACAATTGAACAGCCAGATAAAGAGATACACAGGGGGAGGTTTGGAAACGTCCTCAGCATAGAGACTTCTGTCTTGGTGGAATTGAGGTGTGCCATCCTCCTGCAGTGTAGACATGTTCTTGTTCACCAGTGCAGAAGCTTTCCAAATCCTGTAAGTCGGGGATATTTATGGAGGCTTCATCATGTAGGCATAATCAATTATTAACTAAATCTCCATCCCTGCTCCTCTTCCCAGAGAATAATGGGAAGGGCTGGAGCTGAAAATTCCAAGTTTCTGATCATGGCTTGATCTTCCTGGTGACCAGCCCGCATCCAGGAGCCTATCAAGATTTGCCTCATGGAACCCCACCATTACTAGTAAGTGAGATTCTCAAAGTGGGGAAATGAGGAAAGAAACCCCTCTTTCCTGTCTCTTGTCTCAAAGAAGGAGGAATAAAAGTTGAGACATAGCTTGTATGAGCTCAGTGGACTGAAAGTTAAACCACCCCCCTCCCCTTAAGATCTAAGATGATTAAATTGTTCCCTCTATTGTTCCCATTCAGTCTTACTCAAACCCCGATGCTTACTTCATCGATCAGGACCCCCCTCACATGTACTTTC